TTTCCCGAAAACCGAATTTTATCGAAAGTCAATCCCGAGTACCGAACCGAATTAACATCACCGGTACCGGGAATGGTACCGGTTTTCGGTACTAGTACCGGTGGTACCGAATCCCGAATTTCATGTATTTGGAGTACCGAGTACCGTCCCATATTTTCAAATTTTGTACGGTTCGGTTCCGGTACGGGATCGGGATTTGGGACAAACTGCTCATCCCTATTCTCAACAATTCTATTCCAACTTTCTTCCATTCTTTTTTAATTCTCTCTAATTACATTTCCATTTTCTTGAACTGCATTTCAATTCAATTTCAAATGGACGCTAGTCATGTCAATCCCCTCCGATCATCCAAATCCAAGAATCAAACGACAAATCAACACAACGCCAAAAATCCAGAAAACGATATGAACAAAAGAAAACGGAGTTGGTAAAAGCTTACATTGGCATTTTGGAAGATAATAAACATTGAAATCAACAAAGAGCTAATGGTTTTTGGGTGTGAGTTTTGGAAAACTTTAAATTGCAAGTTAGGGGGTCGGACCTTTCAACTTATCAAATTAACTCTAAATGAAGGGATATGCACGCAAAAATTACCCATTTCAATTAATTTTCAACCAAAAGATGGGTACTCATGCTCTCGGAAATTCCGAGGTCAAGATTTAAAATTCAATAAAAAATGAGTATCGCGAATGCTACATGAAAGATTTTTCACACGAGGCAGCCTGAGATATTTTCAAAATCCAGTCTAAAATTTATGTTTTTAATTATTTTCTTCTAATTTTTATTGTCGTTTTATCGTTATTTTTACCGTTATAGTAGTTTATGTTTTATTTAATGAAATATTAATTCTAATTTTAGTGGATCGAAAACAATAAGAGAGATCGAATTTTCATGTGTGAAAGTAATATAAAAAAAACATTAATGTAACAAATAAGATTTGACAAGTTGGTAGAAATGGATGGACCACTTATTATTAATTGTTTTGATTACCTCCAACTTACCTTATTAAACATTAAACATATTAAGAACAAAAGTGCAAATAAAGAGTTTTTTATAAGGCAGAGGCAGGAATGAACAGGAAAAGTAGTAAAATAGTGGTGTCCACATTGTGGGATATGTTGACCAAGCAAACATAATTGACTTTTGACCTTGAATAGCTTGGATCGGATCTCAAGTGGTAAGGCCTGAGCACGGTTTGGGGTCCCCGTTTTTATCTTAAAAAGGTAAAAACAATTTATAAAAATTCGTATTTAATCGAAAAAATTGATTGAAATTGGGTTTTTCTAGCTTTAGTTTCTTTGTTCCTTATTTTTTTCTTAGTCAACTTGGTTTTCGATTGTAAAATTAAAACAAAAGCATAAATAAAACCCCAAGTTTTAACACAGTAATTGTAATATATTTAGATAAAGAAAAAAAAAATCATACATAACTGAGACCGACTCAGACATTGATTTCTAGACTATTACTGATTTATTTTTTTATTTTATTTTATAAATCACTAGTGAGTTAATTGACGGTGGGCCCCATGTTGTGTACGTGTGACCGCGTCACTGACTAACCCAACGCCGCGCATTTCAATCAATTTGGAGAGACCGTTCACCCGCCGTTGCCCCCACCCAACTGCTTTTACTTGTTGCACAGGACGTTAATTCTTATTTTTCTGGAATGATATTTTTAGGAAAAGAAAAATTATTGAAAAATATTTTTAACTCCTCAATAAATCCAAAAAAAATATTATAGAAAAATATTTTTTAATGAGTTTTATTTTTCCAACTATTATATCATACTTATCGTTTTAATTTTATATTTAATTCAAGATTATAAATTTCGTTATAAATTTGATCCAAATTTTTTATTTTGTTATGAATATAATATATCTTTTCTTTTATAAATTAAATTTTTCTACAATAGACATTTAAAAAAAAATTTAAGATTTTTTTTAAATTGTTTAAAACTTTTATCAGCTTATTTATAGTTTTGTATAACTTCTTTTACAACAATTTTTACAGCCATTTTTTAACTTTTTTTTTTATAAAATTTTCAAAACTGTAAACTTTTTTATAATTTTTCTACAATTTTTAAAAATGCTTTCCTTTAAATTTTTTTAAAGAATATGTAAAAATATTTATACATAAAAAGTTTAAAAATTATAAAACAAGTTTAAAACATTATATTAAAAAAATTATAAATCAAATTTATAACTTTTTTTTCTTCCTTTCTACAATATTTATAAATACTTTTGTTTAAATCTTTATTTCACAATATGTAAAAAAGTTATATATAACAAAAGTTTAAAAACTTATAAAACAAGTTTAAAATGTTGTATTAAAAAAGTATAAATCAATTTTATAGTTTTTTTGTAAAAAAAAGTATAAAAGGAGATAATTTATAAAAAAAATTTAGAAATTATAAGAAAAGTTTTAATATTATTGTAATTTTTTTTTTCAAATAAGTGTTATGTGTGTTGCAAAAAGTTATAGAAATATAAAAAATAAAAAAAATTATCAAAAAAGTTTAAAATTTGAAAAAGAAGTTTAAAAAAATATATTTATAAAGAAAACTAATTTTAAAGAAAATTTGTAAAAAATAAGGTTGGACCATATTTATAACAAATTAAAAATTTTGACAAAATCCGTAATAAAATTTAAAACATAGGCCAAAATTATAAAATTGAAATATGATCTACTATGATATGATATGTAGAAATACAAAAACTAAAAACGGTGGTTACTTTCTATAACATTTTTTAGTTTGTTAGAGCATACGGTGTGGGTACAAGATTTGCTCGTTGTGGCTGAGGTGGACGCCCACAACGGCGTTGCATCTTGTTGTACACCACCCCGGCATCTAGTTGCTTCTTGTCATGAGGCTTCTTGTTGCCGTTACAACCTAAAGCAACGAGTAAAAATGAGAACATTGCCCTCTTTTTAGCCGTTGTCAACAGTCAAAACAAAAAATAAATAAATAAATAAAACATATTTATTCTCAAAAAGTTGGAGTTACATCTTGTTGTCCATTTCCCCACTTGGTGTTATAACACCATTTGCTTATGTGGCATGTAAGATGGCACAACTTGATGTTGCATCTTGTTGCCCACACCCAATGGTCTTAGCAATTTGAAGACATTTTCAATATTTTCTTTCCTAAATAAATGATAACCCTAAATTAGTAGTGTGTTGTTTGGATGGTTTATAACCAATATAAAAAGAACATTATAAATGGTCACATGAGAAAGTAGTGTGTGTTTAGTAAAATGATAATAATAAATCACCAACTATTTTGTATAATAAATTTTATTCTTGAACATTGTTTAGTCTTTTTTTATTTTAATTTATTATTATTATTATTATTATTTTACTTCAGTGTTCATGTTAATGCTATAAAATTACAAGAATTTTGCCTATAAAATAGATGGAAATATTATCTTTTCATACGAACTCAGGTTAAAATACTACCTTTAGTAATTATTTGGCTTAAAATGACGTTTACATCATTTAAGAAGGCTTGTAAATGAGTTGCAAATACCTAGATGATATTCTAAACACATTCTACAATATTAACCCAAGTCATGAGGGCTTTATTGTGGTGTAAAATTTTCACCAATGATGCTTAAGAATATGTTGGCTTCACTACTAGCTTAGAATAAGTCAACCAAAGAGACGTTGAAAAATAAAATGAAATTGTTTCACGTAAAAACGGTATTATAGAAGATATAAAAAAGAAATGGATTAACATGATAAAAAAATGTTGCACAAAAATGATATCTAAGGCAAATGTGAACGTTTCTTGACTACTACACTACTTCCATCATCGTGATAAGAAAACTCAAAGTAGACAAATAATTATCAACCAAAAACTCTATATCTATTACAAATCCGTAAGTATGTAAATAAAATTAGTTAAAATTGATATAAATAATTGTTCCCAACACCTATTTATGTATCCCATTACATCATTGACCTACCTTATAGAAGGGTATGCTCATTATCTTCTTAATCTAATCATGCCTTTAATCAAGTGGGGATTTTGGCTAGACATTCTAGGATTTTCTTTCAAATAGTGGAAGGAAGCCCACTAGTAATAGTGGAAGGAAGCCCCTTAGCAACCATTCACCTACCTTATACAAGGGTATGCTCATTGTCTTCTTAACCAAATCTTATAGAAGTGGGATTTTGGGACCGTTTTTTGGTCGGATCACAATTGATTTCATGCTTCAATTATTTTATGCATACTCGATGCATAGTTAACCAAGGTTGAAAACAACTTGATTGAAGATAAATAAAAGAGGCTAAATATGGGATAACTAGTTTTATTTGTTTAAATCTAAATACAAAAGGAAAATCAACGTTTAATGTACAAAAAAATGCACCTAGGTTTTTCTCTCATTTACATTAAAAAAATGGTACAAAATCGTGATTTTAAGGAATAAAAAGCAAAAAGTATTTACATAAAAACCAAAACTGGTATTCGGATATAAGTGTAGGGACTCAAAAGGTATAAACAACAAATATTCATCACTATACGACGACAATGAGGCCAGGTATGAGTTCAAATCTTGAAAATCAACCCTCACGTTGACTTTCCATACTTCTTAAAGGGTGAATTCGTTTCATGACCCTTTGTGTGTTCATACTCCGTACTCCATACGAGAGAACTAGAAGAATTATTAAGCTCATTCCAGGAAGGAAGATATCAAGATACATCGCATTACTTAGCTGACTTCCTACACTTTGATTAATATACCACCGAAGGGGGCACACACTTCCATTGCCCCAAATCCCAATTACCTTCTCAACCTAATCGTATCCACCGCCATCTTCTCTCAACTGAAATACCCACATCAATCCATAATCCAATCTTCAATCGATTGCTTCTGAGGTAATTTCCGATACTGGGTTGCTCTTGATTGCTACTTTTTGCTAGTTTTATGTTCCTAATTTGTGTTATCTAGTCGGTCTCATGTCTTTTTGTTCTATCTTCCTCGTTTGAGTTGTTCGACTTTCGTTTTCTTAGTCGAACTTCGACAGGGTATGTGGGTTTTTTCAGCTAGCATTTCAATCATGGAGTTCTTTGAAAATTAGCTAATGAATATGGCTTACTTTCTCGAAAAGATATTGCTTTTACTGTTATTTTTACATAAAAGCATCAAAAAGGTCGTTTTTGTTTTTGAAGAACAGGGGCTGATTCGCTTCTTTTTTCTTCGTTGATGCAATCCAATTTCTAGATACTAATACTTGTACATAACAGATACCAAATCCAGAAGCATCAACCAAAGATTCTTCAAGCAAAAATCAGAAATCGGTGTCTCAATAGGTTATGGGTTGTTTCTCTTTCTTCTTTCGCCGGAGTGCAGACCCACCAACTAGCCGGTTTTCTGAATTCGAAGATGGTAAACCCTGAAACAATCGTCGATCTATAACATTTTTATCTTATTAATTCACATGTAAGAGTTTCTAATTTGTTAATTCTTTAATCATAAACAGAATTATCCGAAGTTCAGAATCTTAAACTCTACACCTACAAGGAACTAAGATGTGCGACTGATGATTTCAGTCCCGCCAACAAGATTGGGGAAGGTGGATTTGGTCCCGTTTACAGGGTAAGTGTGTGTTTGTGTGTGTTTTGTTCTTCAAGCACTTTATCGTTATCAATCTTAATGTGTAAAAAACGTTGTCGTTTTTAGGGAAGACTAAGACATGGGAAAGACGCTGCTATAAAGGTTCTTTCTGCTGAATCAAGACAAGGCGCAAGAGAGTTTTTAACAGAAATCAAAGTGATTTCTGATATCGAGCATGAAAATTTAGCCAAGCTTTGTGGATGTTGTGTCGAGGGAAACCACAGGATTTTAGTATACGATTATCTTGAAAATAACAGCCTGGCTCAGACCCTTCTTGGTAATTTCACAAATTCAGCGTCTTTTTCCCTTAAATTGTTAGTGTTGGAAGTTACATTTCGCTAAAAAGATTGAATTTTTTTTTTTTTTTTTAATATTCTTTGAAGGTAATGGGCATAGTTCTTTAGAGTTTAGTTGGCGAACAAGAAGTAAGATATGCATAGGAATTGCACGAGGGCTTGCTTTTTTACATGAGGAAGTGCGCCCACATATTGTTCATAGGGATATTAAAGCAAGCAATATTCTTCTTGATAAAGATTTAACACCCAAGATTTCGGATTTTGGTCTTGCAAAACTCATCCCTGCAAACATGACACATGTCAGTACGCGTGTGGCTGGAACAATGTAAGACCCTTTTTCCTTTTCTTTTCTTTTTTCCCATTAAGTACTTTCTGATTATGAATTATTCCATTAAGTCCATAAGACACATGTCTTTGATTTATATATTGTTATTGTCATCAAGATTTACTAAATTTGTGTTGGTTTGATTGTGGCAGTGGTTATTTGGCACCAGAATATGCAATTCGAGGCCAGTTGACACGTAGAGCCGATGTTTATAGTTTTGGTGTTCTTCTTGTTGAAATTGTCAGTGGGAGATGCAACACAAACTCACTATTGCCAATCGAAGAACAATTTATTCTTGAAAGGGTAAGTTAGTTGTATACTTTTATTTGATTAAAGCAAGAATCTTTCCTATAAACAACTTTCTAAAATCCTCATCATGTTTGACCTCAAAAGATCATCAAAATGAGTCTTTTTCGGGACAAGAAGATACCCTTTATGCACATTCTTGATTTCAAATAGAAAATATCACTTGGGTTATACTCTAATCTGAAATCAAGAATGTCTCAAAAGGGTCTTTTTTTTAGGACAAAAAGATACCCTTTATGACATTCTTGATTTAAAATAGAAAACACCACATGGTTTAGTCTAATTTTGTTGTGTTTCATGTAACAGACGTGGGATCTTTATGAAAGAAACGAATTGATAGAGCTTATAGACGCGGAATTAAACGGTGATTTTGATGTAGAAGAGGCATGTAAATATTTAAAAATCGGTCTTTTATGCACCCAAGATAATCCAAAGCTTCGACCCGTGATGTCAACCGTGGTCAAAATGTTGTCTGGTGAGATGGAAATTGATGAGGGAAAGATTACAAAACCGGGTCTTATTTCAGATTTCATGGATCTCAAGGTCAGAAGCACCCCAAACAAGACTGCAAATCATGATCCTAAAAAGAACATATTCAATACTACTACTACATCTTCAGGTTCTGATAATGCAGAACATTCGTTATTAACATCAAATAATACATCACAATCCACTATGACCTTTACAGATGTGTGGGATCGGACTAATTGACCCAAGTTCATTGAAGAATTCGCATGTTTCTTTTTTCTTTTTTGTTTTTGAAAAACTTGAATCTTTTTGGAGGTTAGGGCAAGGGGTTGGAGGTATATATGGTTTGTAAATTTGTATATTTTTGTCTTTATGCAATTCTTCGAAGATGGGTTTTCTGTAAAGGTTTCTTACTTTCTTTTTTGGTTTAGATGGAATCATTAGTAGAGATTTGGAGATTTGCGTTTGTTCTTGATCAATTTTGGCTTCAATTTGGCTTCCATATAGGAGTTACAATGTTCAAATTCTCGCATGCAAAAAATAATATCAGTGTTTTGCTGTCTACCTTCCACGTGGGCTTTATGTGGACTGCTTGATGATGTGGTTTATTGTTTTTAGGCAAAAAAGTAGATGTTTAGAGATTAGAGTTTCTTATTGATCAATTTTGGCTTCAATTTCACTTTTCTTTGAGATTGTTTCAAAGACATGACTTGTGTTTTGTTGCATTTAAGCAATCTGCCAAAATTGAGTTTCTTGTTTTTCTCGATTTGATGGAAAATGTAGAGATTTCTGATTAGGGTTTTTTCTTGATCGATTTTTGTGTCAATTTCACATTTTTTGGATAGTTTCAAAGATTTAACTTGTCTATTTTTGTTTTACGTGGATTTGCGAAGATGAATTTTCTTAAAAAGTAAAGTTTTAGAGATTATGGTCTATTATTGATCAACATAGGCTTCAATTTCACATTTCTCTGGATTGTTTCAAAGATTTGACTTTGTATATTTTTGTTTGTTGTAATTTGCTAAGATGGGTTTTTCGTCAATATTTATTTTTTGGTTTTAGACTGAAAGATTTGTAGAGATTTGGGTTTTCTTTGGGGATTTTTCAACATTTTGACTTATATTAAGAATTTAAGAATTTAAGATTTGAAGGATATTGTAATTGAAGATTAAAGTGTCGTGTTAGGATTAAACAAATGAGGTTAATAGAGGTGGTAAGGTGTCATCTACGGCAAGTTTTGAAATAATGTTTTTTTTGGAAGTATTTCTGTGGTGGGCTAATGGCTGCGGAATGAGGTGATATGTCACGTGCTTAATCACGTGACCATCGGGGTATTATTGATTAAAATATTGAAGTAAATTATAAATTTGTCTTGTATTGCTTAATTTGCAATCCAAAGGTTGTCATTTCGTCATAATCTTTTTTTGTAAAAACTAATAAAACTAGCGAGTTAATTTGCTAAACCATACTATATTGGGTTTTGGTGAATTTTGTTTAAAAGATTAATGAAAAAGATAAAGGTTCGTAGTCTTGTAGAATGTAGATGAAATTGAGCAATACTACATGGATAAAATTGGAAGTTTACTCATTTACAAATTTTACTATTTTGTAAGATTTGGTTTAGGGTTGGTATTATTGGTTAAACAAAAAAAAATGTGTCGCTTTCATCTGTTTAAGATATATATATATATATATATATATATATATATATATATATATATATATATATATATAATATAGTTTTTTTTAATATAAAAAATTAGTTTGACCTTTGACGTTTTTGAAAAAGTTATATAGCCTAAAATATAACGGTTAAGAAAATATAAATAAATCGACATAAATATTTGATATGTAATGACAGAAGTAAACTAAATGTTATGTCCTTAAACTAAAGATAGATTACTACTTTTCATAAATGAGAATTATTTAGAGCAAAAAGTTAAATAAGTAAATTATTATTCATGTATTTTACGGTTATTTTAAAACTAAATTACAGCTTAGGTCACTACCGTATACATTTTTTTTAGGTTTAGTCATAGTTATGAAGATTTGACACCACTGCTCATCTTATCATAGCCGGTAAATCCATCGGTTTTAATCCTTATATTCGTTACCATTCATATGCTTCTTTTAAGTTCATGTAAAGTAACTCTTATGTATTTTTTTATAACTATTACTAGTTTATAACCCGTGAGAACCACGAATGTAAAATTAATTAAACTTTCATATTAAAATATCAAAATTATTAATAAATTATTTTAAATAAATTATTACTTAGGAAATATTTTTTTAGTTATATAAAATTATAATCGTTGATTTAAATAAATATTATATTACCTTATAATCTATATTAATTTAATTTTATTTTTTTATCTAATGTTATTAATTTAATATAATTAAAGTGAAAAAATTTAAAATTTAAAATTTAAAATGAAGAATCACGTTTAATTTAATGTAATTAGAGTGAGAAATTTAAATTTTGAAATTTGAAATGGATAATTAATAGGTTGACAAGTGACATGATATTTGACATATATAATATTAATGAGAAATTTTAATATTATGACACTTGTTAATATGATAATAAACCTATTCATTTATTAGAATAGAGAGATGTATTTTTTTTGTAACTGTTATGTCTTTTTATTTTATCTTGACATCATACGTACTTATAAAGCTAACATTTTTTCTTGAATCTCATGCATTTGAAACCCCTTTTTTAACTTCCTCAAACCACATTCACTTGAAACCCTTTTTTTTAACTAATGCAACTCAAAAGTTTTCTTAATTATGATTTAACATTCAAAAGTTTTATAACTTATATTATGTTTAATTAACATTTAGTGAAAAGTTTACTATAAAAAGGCCAATCT